AAATAACAGTTCACATTTTGTGATTATGACAGAATTGTTTTTCTTCTATTTCGAGCTCAATTGTTATGATCATAAATGGGCATGTCAGGGTCGGCATTGACGATTACATTGATGGTGGGAACATAGTCTAGTTTTTATTGTCGCAATGTTTTTGGTTTACCACGGTATCTGTAAATTTGTTACAATCTTTTTATGTTATAATATCATGATCAAATATTGGAATGTGTTTTCTTCATTCATTTTCTGCAATTAAAAGTGACTTTCCTTTGAATCGGACTTTTCGCAATTAATACACTATTTTGCACACCTCCTGGATTGTCCTAGATCATTTGCAACGACACCAGTGGTGATTCTGCATTCCTTCAGAAGCTTTAAGCCAGCACGGGCTTCAGCTTGGTGTCCAGCGCTGCATGGACATTTGGGGACGCCAAGTCAACTGTAGCAAATTCTGAAAGTGAGTATTATTTTGGATGGCGTTTAAATGTTACCTTCTCGTATATACAAAACTGAAGAAAATCGCTCAAAAAGTTATTTCCTCGTGTACATCATCTACAATTTTAGTTTGAATCCATAGGAAAACAACATAATTATTATGGATCTAAAGTGGGACCTTTTTACACTTAGTAGTGCACCCTCTGTTGAAAGAAATAGATGACAGCAAAAAACGGAGTTTGCTTACACGTTGTAGTTTTTATTGTGGCATTTTTTTTTTAAGGTTCCTGTCATTTTTTTTCTTCAAAACTGTTTTGTTATACATCATGAATAATTATTGGACGAAATTTCTATACAATTCAACGCGCTTTCCTTTAGGTATCGGAACCATTAACAAAGAGTGGATATTTTTTGTTCGAGATTTCAGTCGATTTTTTTTCTTCAAATCTTTACATTGCGACTAAATATTCAACAAAATTTCCTTCAAAAGTAATTCCAATTAACACAGTTTTTTTCACGATAAAAATACTGCTTTCTTCAATCATATAAGAATAAAATTTTCCCAAGATTCCCTTAAATTTTCAATCATGTTGCGTCACATATCACGGCCAGTAATGCGACGCAGTTTTAATCATATGGGATGCGTTATTCTGCAATATTATCTCCACAGAGAGTGTGGTATTTTTGTCAAATGGGTACATCGTGACACACATTGACGGACGTCTTCGTTTTTTGCAAGAAATTGAAGGAAGCAATCATGGTGTACGTATACAGGGTGTTTCAAAAAAAGGAAACCCAATTTCAAAGAATGAGTATGGACTTACGATATGTTTACTGGCTATAAAACTGGTATCATCTGAAAGCGTAATCTCTATGCTTTTCAATGATACCGTGTTTAGGTTTTCTGAGTCATGCATCACTGAGCATCATTGTCTTGAAAACTGAATGCAAAAATGCACTTGGTTCACTTTCATAAAAAAAAAAACCACTGGGTACGGTGTGCCTATTGTTACGGAAATGTCTTTGAAATGGCTTGAATGTCAATTCTCGGGAAAATGGCAGATTGTTTTGAACGTGGCTTGGTCAAAACGAGAATTAATGACAAACAAAATCCAGTTTTGAAACCAACCCGACTTGTTTTTTTATTTCTTTTGATGCACCCGTGTTATCTTCTTGAATACTTATTCCCATGCACACCATGCCTATTGTGTTTGACATGAAAGTGAACCAACTGCAATTTTGCATCGTTTTGAAGATAATAATGCTCAGTGATGCAAGGCCCTGGAAATGTAAACAAGGTATCATTGAAAAGCATAGAGATTACGCTTTTATATGAAAGCGGTTTCACAGCCAGTTAACATTTAGTCTGTCCATACTTGTTCTTCAAAGTTGGGTTTCCTTTTTATTGAAACACCCTGTATAGCGTCGACACTTTTTTGCTTTATTGTCGTGTATTTTTTTCCGACGAGGTTTCCGTCCAGGTATTTTTTATGTCATTACGTGACAACTAATTATCGACTGATATGTTCAAATATCTATTATTCTGGAGTAATTGTATCCATAGGTAGCATGTTACTTTCATTCAATTATTATAAAGTTACTTTAATTCCCAATTAATTGTTTTTTGCGATTAAAACACTAAATTGTCATTAAATGACATTACATTATTTTATTCTTCTTCTGTTCCTGTCAAGTTTCTTACTTTCTGTGTCAAAAAAGCGATGAGCTATTTTGCAATAATTGTCTCTAGAAAGAGTGATTTATTTTTGTTCAATAAAAAGTGACTTTCGTTATGAATTTTACATGATTTTTATAAATCATATTAAATTTATTCCGCCATGGCTTTCATCAATTTTCAAACTTGTGTAAAATATAATGGACAATAATAGGACGCAATTTTCATTAAATGCGATGTGTTCTGCAGTCATTATGTCTTAAAAAACATGTTTTATTGGTCGCAGATTGTCATCTGCATTATACAAAAATCTTAAAGGTGCTGACCAGTGTTTGTGTAGGACGCCCTCTTTTGGAAGAAATCGACGGTAGCAAAAGCTACGTACGGAGCGTCCAAACAATTGTTTTATTGTCTTTTATTGTTTCTTCCCAGGTTTCCGTCGGGGTTTTTGTGTGTGTCAGTACATCATGACTAATTATTGTCAAGTTTTCATATCAATACAATTTATTTGGGTGGGGGATTATTGTCTCTATAAATAGTGTTTTACGTTTTTCAATTCAATGTGACTTAAATTTGCAATCAATTTTTGGGGGGTTTGAATTTTTCCACGGTTCTTGTCAATTTAAGTTGCTTAGTGGGTTTGAGGATTCATTGTGGCTTATTACAAAAGAAATTTACGGCTGATCCCATTCCCAGTAGTTAAGTCAACTTTACTGTAACATAAACAACAACCTTGATTTACAGACAATAACTCAAGATATATCCGTTACATTAAATTGATATTTCATACGCTTATTAAACATGATTTGTGACCCCTTTCTGTTGAATTTGAACATTTTGAAGAAGAATCGTCGAATAGTTAAATAATAAAACATAGCAATGTACTGTATTAAGCGCGTAAAATACCAGGCGATTCTGGAATGCAGATTATAAAGCACGTAAAATACCAAGCGAATTCAAGTGAACTTTACTATAACAAAACAACATACATGTACTTGGTTTCCAGACAAAAACTCAAGAAATACATTTTGCAATGAATTGCAATTTCGTATATTGATAAAACGTGATATAAAATACAATTCTGTTGAAATTGACAACCAACTTGATTTCCAGACAATAACTCAAGATTTATCCCGTACCTTAAAATGACATTGAATCCACTTATTAAACATGATATACGACCCCTTACTGTTGAATTTCAAGAATAATCGTCAAATAGTTAAAATAATATTAACCAGTGACGCACCCAGGATTTGGTTTTAGGGCGGGGGGGGGGGGCTCAAAATATGTCTATTTACAAAATACAGTTTTGTTTGTTTTTGTTTTCAAAAATTTTGCCCAAATTTTTTGGCCGCATAAAAAAATGATGGTTTTTTTTAGGGGCGGCCTATTTTGACGTTAGTGGCGCCACTTACACCCCTATTAAACTACTCGAAAACAGACCACATTAATAATCTCCAAGGCCAAAATCGTGGGACTAAAGAGTTCTGAGTATTTTAAAAAGATTTTATAACAATTATTTCTTTTCAAAGAGCGGGCGCGCTATGCAAATACTGCTCACCACGCTCCGATGTCTGGCCATTCGAGATGTAAACACAGTTATTGTGCAAAAAGGGAACTCAAGATGAACACATTGTATTGCATTGAAATTTCATGTAATGTTTTGCAATGGTATTTGACACGAAAATCTAGAAAATTGACACGAACCTCCGAAGGTGGAATGTAATATAATTAAAGGAAATTGCAGTATGAAGGACACTTCGTATTTTATCCTCATGCAAGAATTTCGAACAAAAGAGGGCGCGCTACACAAACACTGCTCACCGCGTTCCGACAAAATATTTTGGTTTACAAATTTGTTAGGGCCGGCCTATTTTGACGCCAGCCAATCGTGGGACTAACAACAAAAATGACAACCTCTTGGGGGGGGGGGGCTCAAAAGGAAATTGCAGTATGAAGGACACTCTGTATTTTCTCGTCATGTCAACACAGTTATTGTGAAATTGGGAACTCGAGATAAAAACATTCTATTGCAATGACATTTCCTGTATTATTTTGTCATGGTATTTGACACGAAACTCTAGAAACTTGACGGAAACCGCCGAAGAATAATTTGATACAATTTAAGGGAATTGCAGTACGAAGAACACTCCGTATGTTATGGTCATGCAACAATTTCTTACAAAAGAGGGTGCTGCACAAACACTGCTCACCGCACTCCGACGTCTTAAGTTGCCACCGACGTCTTACTGTAAAAGCAAGTAAATATATACTAAATAAATTTTACTGCAGGAATACGGAACGCTTTTTTTGCTGGCAGCAAAATTTCCGGAAAAGTTTTTTCGTTTCGTAAAATAAACAGACCATTGACATGAGTTTGGACATGTGTACACGGTACACTTGGATTACTATAATGTGTATGTGTTTGGGCCGATGTGGTTGATTGTAATCATGCTAATAAGCATAATTAATATCTGCAATTAGTAGTATATACTGAGCATCTCGACCCCCAATGAGGTGGCATCGAGGTGAGGCGTGAGGCGGGATGGTGAGGCGGGTGAGGCGGGGTGAGGCGGGTGAGGCGGGATGGTGAGGCGGGTGAGGCGGGATGGTGAGGCAGGTGAGGCGGGATGAGGTGGGTGAGGCGGGATGGTGAGGCGGGTGAGGCGGGTGAGGCGGGATGAGGTGGTAGTGAGGTGGAGGTGGTAGTGAGGTGGTAGTAAGGTGGAATTTTTTGTTAAATTTTTTTTTTTTTTTTTTTTAATTTTTTTTATTTTTTTGAATTTATTTTTTGTTTTATTTTATTTCATTAAGTAATTTTTTTAAATTCTTTTTTTTAGATTTTTAGAATTTTAATTTTAATTATTTTTTATTTTATTTTTTTTATATTTTTTTATTAACGGAGCCACGTTAGTGGCGACATTGGCCTTACGCTAGTAACCCGAACGGAGTGGGACTGTAGCGTAAGTCTCGAGACTTGTCTCGAGGCTAGCGTGTGAGCGATGAAGTCGCGAGCACGGCTCTAGTGCTCTGGGCTCCCCCTTCCCTACGGAGCCACGGTAGTGGCGACAGTGGGCTCACGCCAGTGACCCCGAACGGAGTGGTCAGAGGCGCAAGCCTCGATCCTAGACCTGCTCCAACAAGTCCGGAGTTACACGGTGTTTGGTGACGTCACGGTTGTGACGTCACGGACAGGTCATGACAAGAGCACTGCGAACAATGGGACGCAGAGCGCGATGAGTGAGAGACCTTTGGACGAGTTGGAACACGAAACGTTTGTTGCTTTTTGATTGGTGGAGTGGTAAACAGTCATGACGTGTTGTGGATACGGGTTCATCGGGTGTATAAAAGTCGGACACTGCTGTGTTTGGAAATCATTCACCTACCAACAACCGAAAACATCAAAATTCTGCTCAATATCACCATCATCGCACTAAACCAATCATGGCTGCAGCATCAGGCAACAACGCACCTCCGTCTTCCCCAACTAGTGAGTCGGTGAAAGGACCGTTTGACTGCGTGAAGAAGTTAACCCATGCCCAAGTCAAGAGAGGATGGCGCGAAGGTTTCAGCACCACCGAAAATAGATCCTACTATTACAATATATTCACAAGAGAGAGTGTGTGGTCCATACCTACCATCCTACTGCAACAGGAAGAAAGCGAGGTGGACTCCGGGCCGGCAGAGGACTTGCTGGCGGCTGCCATGACAGAGCTGACGGGTAACCCACCCACGGACCTCTCCAAGCCCCCTTTCATCAAGGGAAAGCCGACCAAGAGAAAGTTCAGCCCCGATCCCGACCAGCAGGAGAACGAGAAGAACGCCGTCAGATTCGAAATTGGAGGTGAGCGTTATGCCTGTGTCAAACGTTTCAAGAACCGTGTCTACGTTAATATCAGAGAGTACTACTTCAACGAGGACAAGACTAAACTACTTGCGGGGAAAAAAGGACTGAACCTGACATCCGCCGAATGGTACAAGTTGATCGATCAAAGAAAACTCATTGCTGAAGCCATAGACATGATCTAGATCTTCAGTGTCACTCGCTTATTTTCTATTCATTTTGAAATCATCTCGCAGGCTCATCAAATCAGGACATCATCGACCGACGGGTAAGGGTGAGAACACTCACCAAACGCATCCTGACCAAACTCATCACGGACGAGATACTCCAGCTAGTGTATCATACGCAAAAACGACTGGGCTGCGAGGGGTGTAAAAAGGACTGGCCGAGTCTTTTTGAGCACGCTTGCACATTTTTTGGTAGGAATCCTCCAAATCACATCGACGACTATATACCTTTGTACTTTGAGGAGGTGCTGGCTTCGCTGGACAAGAAACGAGTACGACCAATATTTCTAGCGGTCGCTAGCCTACTGGGAGCTGGTTTATTCATCGGAGAAGGAATGAACTTGGACACCGAATTGAGTGATTTGATCGAAGACATTTTAAATGATTGGAAGGATGATTTAGAAGAAATCGGTTACTCCTTCTACTCGTCTTTGTTCGACAATACTACCGAACTCATTCAGAACACAGTAGATATCATAGAGTAAATGACCCGACAATGTTTGCTTACCTTTTAATTATTATTATTATTATTATTTTTTTTAAATTGTTTCCCTTTTTTTTATATTTTTTTATATTTTTTTATTTACGTGTTAAGTTTATGGTGGAGGGTTAATAAAAAGATTGCTTGAATAAAACAATTCTGATATGTTGTAGTCACAAAAGAAGAACCTGCCTCTTGTGTGTGTTTGTATATGTCTCGCGTGTTTTATTTTTTTGAAAATATATGTATATAGATATTAGTTTTAATACTACGTTGGGTGATAGGGGTAAGAGGAAACATACACAAAAATAAAAGTCGACACGGGGTGCCTAAAACCAACCGGAACTCACCAGAACATTCCTTAAGTGGTCAACGGGCAATATACAGTTTATAAGTATTTTATTTCACAACAGATCAATGCTAACTACAAGGTACATGTAACAACAAGTTAAAAATAAATAAATCAACAAACAGTTAAAAAAAAACAGCTACAACTACTGGATAATAATAATAGTAATACCAACAATAATAATAATGAACATTAGTAGAAGTCTAGTTCTCTAACAAAGCTCTGGCTATTTGCCTTACAAGAAACTGTTCGTCATACACCGATGTATTTACGCGAGGAAAATGTTTTCGTATAAAATCGTTAACGAGTATGTCATTGTCTCGTTTATCTGAAGAAAACAGGAGCGTGATTTTGTACATGGTGATTCCCCGACAACGCTGTAACAGGAAAAAGATGGAGTACTGTCCACACACGGCTGACAGTGGTCCCTGCAGGGGTTGGTGGTTGTAGCGGGTACACGTCACATTTTTCTTGAGGAATTTCTTGACCCGGGGTATATTCATCGGTTGTCCGTAGGAATCGAAATACTCTCCCTCCCCATCCCGCGTGATGTAAATGGCCACCCAGTGCTGACCGGGTTTCGTGGATGGGTCCGTATTAAAAATGAGGGCGTTCGGTCGGGGCACGTAGTGCTTAGGCAGCTGATCGCAGACAAAAACGCCTCTGAAGTAATGCTTGGTAAAACGATCATTTTTCAAAATGCTGCTGATTTGATAACTGTCCATGTTGACGACGTGTAATTTAACTGCTGTAGTCAAAGATGACGTTGCGAGCCTGGTCAATTTCTATGATGTTGTTGAACTCGGCGTAGATGATGACGTTGATGGTTGCATCCAGTGGATTGGCAAAGTGGACGTCCAGTCTCAGGTTGCCACGCCTCACGAGATTGAAGTGTCCTCCCACAGATAGGTCGGGGCTCAGATCAAACGCAAACAGTGTGTACCCCGCGGGATAGTCGTCACGAGTGATGGCGACGCCTTCGTCTTGGTACATTTTATCCGTACCGGAGAAGAGGGTCTGGTAGGCTCTGATGTAATTTTTACCCGGTTCTTTAAATTTCGGTTTCAGAGGTGAATAGGGAATTTGTTCCCCGTCCAAGTGAACTGTCAAAAAGTTGATATTCATGTGTTGGAAATTAAAGGGGTTTTTCCCATACCGTCCGTTAAATGCTTCGTTGGTCACACATCCAACTACGATACGGTTTGGAAGTTGACCCAGAAACACGTGGTCCTGCGTGAGGGTTAGATTACCGCGGGGCACAGACACCATTTTGCACAGATTGCGTTTGATGGGGTATTTGGCGGTGCCTTTCTCCAGAGCTTTCATGTGTCCCAGCATAACGCCCGAACTGACTTTGACTTTCCTGACAAAAACGGACGCGTTTAGGATGACCACTTTGTAGGTGGGGTTTCCCCCAGCGGCCATGAGGCAGAACGCGTTGCTGCTGCGAATCAGTTTCAATTTCAAGTCCACGCCATTCAGCATGTGTTTGTCTTGAAAGAAAATGTCGCTGTGAATCGGGCCGATCATGTCCACCTCGCTGCTTCCCTTTGTAAACTGGTATCTCTTCTTCAGCCCATGGTTGACCGCATCGTCTGCCGCTGTAGGGTTTGCGCTGTCCATTTTGCCGGCGGTGTCTTTATAGAACAAAGCGGCAGTCAGCTGAGAGATTTGAGCATCGCTGCCGTAGCTGAGCAGTGTTTCGATTATGGCGCGATAGGGGTAGGTAGGTGTGGAGGGGGAGATCAGACGTTCGTTCAGACTCACATCAATCTGGCTGAATAGGGACTGTAGAAGTAAGTTGACGGGACCCACGTGGTCGGCGTCTGTCAAGTTGGAGCCGTCCGCTTTGGTGATTTTCGCTCTGACGTACAACTGGGTTTGGTTGAGATCCATGTATTCTTCTCCGGATCCCGGTACGAAAAATTCTATCGGTCCTCCATCAGAAATGGTAGAAATCGGGTGATATTCCTGCCACTGACCACGTTCTATGCTCGTTTGTGTTGGTGGTAAAGAAAAAATATCAAGTTCAGATTTAGTGCATTCGCACGAGTTATTGTGTAACAACGACATAATGACTGACTGTGGGTTAGCTTGCAAAACGCTTAATCAAATATGTCTTGTGATCTTTTCACTCTCCTGCTAGAAGAGGAAGTGGCGCGTCTGCCGTTTGCTTTCCTTTTTATACCACGTCGTTTACCTCGTGAGAGTCGGGCATCCACGCCTCGAAGAGCCGAGTGGGCCAGATTACGTCCAGCGTGTCGAAGTCGGTTTTTGGCAGATGATTTGATACTTTTTCCCTCCATCGCATCCTGCGCGATTCCTACACCGGTACGAAGCGCTTCGCGACCCAACGTTTTAGCGCCTTGTTTGATCAGAGGCATGGCCGACCGGAAAAGTCCGCTTAAAATCCCTCCAAGTCCATACCCTCTCTGACTTCTCGGACCAGTGAACACGGGGAGACCGCGCCCCACCTGGCCGACATAATAATCTGCGTAGTGTTTACTATTGGGTAGGTAATGACTCTTCATGATGATTAGTAGAAGTAGGACGAGCGCTTCTTTCGAAAGTGAAGTTTCACGATGACTCTCCCGGTAACAAATGGAATAAGTTCACCCGTCCCGTCCCTTATATCGATTTCGATCATGTCCAAAAACTTGTGCTTCAGGGGCATGTAATGAGGACTGTCGTAGATTTTTGTAACGGTTTCTCCATACTTCCCGTCCACATTCACGATGCGTAATAAGGGGGCCCGCGTGTCTCCTACGGTGTGGTACTCCACAATATTAGAGTAGATAAATAACGCATAGAATGGCTGCAGGTCCACCACCCTCGTACTCTTTTTGATACCCGACACAGTTGCACCATCGTCAAAACCGAGTAGGTTCGCTAGACGACCCAGTAATTTAAGCACCACGCTGTCGTTTGTCTTTATGATGACTTTTTGAATGAATTTGTTGTACTTGAATCGGACTTGTCCGTCGTGCTCGATGGGAGGTTCAAAGCTGTCGAATAGTTCTTCAGGTGTTGGGTAGTACCCCTCCGGTACGCGATGAAAGTGAAATCTGGAATCTGTTTCTCCACCCGAGCACGCCACCAGGTTACCTTCGGTCACGTTCAACCAACGGTGAGGGTAAGTTACTTCGGCCAATGCCACTTCCCAGTCTCCCTCAAAAGATAGGGGTGAGGGTAAATTTACAAAAAAATGACTCAAGGTGTTGTTAGGGTGAGTATCCATAGAACTGTTGCTAGGGAGCGTGACGTAAAACAAGTCCGCCATGACGAAGCTTAGCTTTAACTGTGTAGGTAAATACTCGCGTCACGGACGTTTTATAACTTGCGCAGACTTGTCACCCAACTGTTAAACTTGCCTGGGTAGCCCAACCACTTGACAAAATACTCCAATTTTCCCCGCCTTTTCCGCGTCTGCAGTACTTTTTCCACTTGGTACAGGTCGCCCAATTGAACCGCTGGTTGTATTTCGTGTTCGTAGAATGTCCCGTCCAACTCCTCGGAATCGTAATCTTTCAACTTGTACACGGGAGGATGGCGCGGAATACGAGCACTGACGGTGAATAGTTCAGTGGTCCAGTTTGGAAGGTAACCTTTCCTAAATGGTCGTGCAGCCATACCGATGCGCACTGTGTCCCCAACATTGAACTTGTAAGAAATGGGTTTGGCCGCGTTACTGTTCTCGTCGTACAGGTTTCTCCATACAGTTTCGGCATTGTCGCTATTTACCGAGGCCGGTGTGGTCTTTATGCTTCGGTGGTAAGCGTGATTGTACGCCGACATTAATTTCGGCAAAGCTTTAATGTACACGTGGCTGTTTGTGGCCGTGAAATATTTGTACATTTTTGTCTTGAGCGTTCTGTTGAATCTCTCCACCACGCTGGCTTTTGTTTCATTCTGAGTCGTGAAGAAACCAATTTTATTTTTTTCGAGAAATGACTGGAATGGATGATTGGTGAACTCGGTGCCTTTATCGGTCTGTAGAACTGTGGGTCTCCGTCCACTTTTCAAGATTGTCTTGAAGCCGTCAATAAGCGAAGAACGGGTCTTATTCTTGATTGGAATTGCCCAGGCGTATTTCGACAATATATCGATACACGTCAACAAATATTTGTAGTTTCCATTAAACCGACTGAGTGATCTCATGTCCACCAGATCCGCCTGCCACTGCTGGTCAATACCACCCACGATGACTCTATTCTGTTGAAAATGCCTGCGTATGGGTTTGTGTAGTGTGTAAGTCGGTTGCTGACTTAACCAGGTTCTAATTTGACTCCGATTGGTGTCGACGCCGTCTTTTTGGGCAGCACGGTAGACAGCCTCCACACCACCAAACCGGCCGGATGTTGGGGGTTGTAGTACACTCGTTTCAGGTACGTTTCGTTCTGCGCCATCACTTAAATCTGTGTTTTGTATAATGACACTACTGCGACAGCAGATGCACCAACAACGAATTTTTTTCGCGAGTTGTTTAAATCCACAACCCGGTTTCGGTGGACAGCACTCCATGATGAGGTAGTCTCAAATGATTAAGTCGGGGTAGTGTGTGCGTATTAATAGGGAGTCCATTTGGGTTTCGAACGCGGTGTGCTTGTACTCGCCATTGTTTTCTTTTTCCTCGCTTTGGGTGTAGTTTTCAGATGGGACGCTTCGGCAAACAATCGGGGTAGGTGAAAAGACTCTTCTTCCTCTGGTTCTTCCTTCAAGTGTACTTTTAGTTTAGAGGAATCACCAAAGCTAAGTTCACGCTCCAACTTCGGTGGACCGTGCGGCATCGGCTCCAGTTTGGGTGGTTGATCATCCGTCTTCTTGGTTTCTAAAGTCATAGTCAGCGGTGCCAT